CCCCAAAACCCCAAAACCCCAAAACCCCAAAACCCCAAAACCCCAAGAGATTAAAAAGAGAAAATTATTCGAGGTAAAAACTAATTAATGAATCGGAGATTTTCCGAGTGAGTTTTTTGCGTATCTTAATCAAATGTGGAATTGAGGCATAAATTAATTACTCTTCTCATTTTAAGTGAAACACTTCAAACCACTGGATCACAACCATAAGCATCTTAATCTATCTTTACATCACCTACTCTTATTTTGAAGTAGCCTTTATCACCCCATTCAGTGCCCCATTGATTTGCACAGAGGTAGTACTTTATACCTGCTTCAACTCCATATCCGATCATCTTAACAGCATGTCTACCAACAAAGTCACCCGTTAAGTGATAGTAAACTCCAGAGCCGTAATTTAAGAAATCTGAGTATACATCAAACTATGCTACTAATGAACCCTTGTAGTAGAGGTAATTCTTGAGTTGCTCTTCCGATCTTAACTATTGGAGGGAATTATTAGAATGGCATCTTAAACTTACATTTTATGTGGAACCGGATTTGCACTTAAAAGTATTTGTAATCAGATCAGAATTTGCACACTAAGCTGGACATTAAACATTAGTGCCGTTTCCAGATTAATAAGGCATGCAGTCGTCTGTGTTTACACCTGCATCTTCCAAATGCTTGAAGGTCTCATCAACATAGCCACCATCACAGCCCCAATCAGTAGGATTGTAGCATGATACTAGATTTTAAGGAGAGAGAATTGGTTTTTTTGCACCTTTTGTAGCTACACATATTCTTTCAGCTAGCATATTTGTTGATGAAAATGCCCAGCAAGACCCACATTTCATCTGATCTCTTATCGGATTTACACAGTCTGGGTATCTCTTTCTATTGTCAAGATCATAAGGTAGTCTGTTCATTATACTGTTAGATCCTGAATTTCTTCCCTTTATTGCTCCTGCTGCTTGCAACTAAAATGGACTTTTGCTTGGTTAAGTATCTAATTATGTTTATTATGTGGGATCATAATCTTTAGGTAACTTAACTCCAAGAAGAGATTTGATTTACTCAACTGAAAAGCTTTTCAAAGGGTTTTTTTCTGGATTCATAGGTCTCCAATCGACTGTTTACTTTTTAATTTAGTTACATAAATCCTTGCAAATGGGGGATTGACATTGTTGACCAAAAATCGAATAAGCCTATAAGTATACAAATACTAATAACTTTATGTGAATATTATACATCAGATTATAAATATCTTATTCCAATTATCTCTAACACCTAGAATAATAATGCACTTATGCACTCTCGGGGTTTTGGGGTTTTGGGGTTTTGGGGTTTTGGGG